TATACACTGGTTATTAATACTACTTGTGTTGTAGGTTATACAGCAGTTGGTGATACTACTTGTGTTGTAGATTTTTAGTGTTACAGAGTTTTATATAAGACTGCAGAACCGTCTAGTGGTTGATACAATATATACCCCTCGTTGCACCTTGAACATGTAACGTCATATACCACGATTCATTAGATGTCTTTAAAGCTGAAGAGCCCTTTTAACCCAGACAATTGTAAAGACATTTTGAATGAACTTGTGGATAGAATTGTTTGATAATTTTCTTCTTAATCGTGCATAAAATAGTGCTTAAATAAGGTGTGATAAAAGTAACAGTTTCTTCGGAACACCTAACCTAATAACAGAAGGGGTGCTTAGTTTTTCAGTTTTTGTGTTAATTATTCTATTTAGGAACGACAACGGCAAACAGTTTCTTCTAAGCATCTCATTACAATGGAGCTTGCGATGTATAAGATCAAAACTCGGATCTCGGAAACTACCACACTAATCATAAATGGATATTATTTTTATAGCTGAGCAATAAAAAACAATTGAAATTTCCATAAAAATGATATGTTTCAGATTTAAACAATAAAAATTACAAACAAAAAGAAGTAAATTTCAAATGTATAACAGTCGACAAACAAACTTAAAAAAATTATTTGTTTTTCTTTAGTGAAAATCTCATGTGTGTTGCAACATAAAAGCAAGGTACTTTCGTTGATAACTGCATCTATAAAGAAATACTTCAATAAAATCTACTATGTGGTGTAACGCTGTGATGATAGCTCATTTTTAAACTAACTTTTCAATAAAATCCTTTCTCTCATGGATGGTGAACATTATTGAATGTCAAATATGAGTACATTGTTGTAGAACTGTCAGACAATTCCAGAAAAGGCCGCAGGCCCAATAACCTTCCACAGGAACTAGCAGTTATACCTACCCGGAGGACGGATATTTCTGCTAGTTTGTTTAATGTTCTCAACTTTTCTTACTAAAAGGTTTTGATTTCGTAATATTTTAATGGCTCTGTATGACAGGGTTTTAAGTAAATCTTGTTTAGAAACTGAAATCCGCCGGAAGTGGATTTATGTTACACTTTAGTCCAGTCTAAGTACAATCATGGAAAAGGACTGACACGGAAATCAAAGCAGGATGGTCATACTGTGCGTTTTAAGTTAGTCACTGCGGTGCTTTTAGAAGGATGCAATAGAGAACTAGAAAAAAATAGTCGCACTGTATATAAAAAATGAGAAAATAAGGTAAAAAAATGTCTAGCCTATATAGAAAGCGATAATATGTTAGCAACGCGATTATTCCTCGCCATTCAATTTGCTAACAGGTGGAACGTATGTTAATCTTATTGAAGCCGTTTCAGTAACATGACTGATACTCATAAATAACAATGTTTACTTTACTTTTAGTGTATGTGTGTCAAAATAATGGACGATTAGAGCATTCGTGCTTTCTGTAAATAATAACTAATTTTTTTGGCTTTATCCTTTACAATATTAACATTGTTTTAAACTAAACAGTACATTTTGTAAACGTTTTAAATAATTTCACGACAGTTAAATGCTTATAGCATGACTTACTTGGTTTAATTTTGGCTTTATTATTTTAGGCTTATTGTGATAAACTAAGTTTTACAATTATCAGTCATTTACAACACAATTTTAAACTTTTTTTGTCCTTAACCAGAGCCTTCTCCGGATAAGCTGTATGTATTTGTTGTTCTTGAGCTAAACCAGTGAAGCTGGAGGAATCTGGAGAGGAGTGTTTAAGTTTATGGCAGAAAACATCGTTAATAAGCGAAAGTACTTTTTTAATTATACTTACCAGAAGTTTTACGATTTAAATTAGGATCAAGCGCCATCTTACTTTGAAGTGTACTAACTAGTATTATAAATTAAAACCTAAATGTGTACGTTATAATGTCTAAAACTACTGATAAATCTAGACGTCTTTTTTTTCTTCTTCTTCTTTTTTTTTTGACATAAGCTCATTATTTCAATGACTATTTAAATAATATTTAGGGTAATTTGTCTAATTTATTAGGTAGTTTGTATGTATATAATATATGTTTCCATATATATGTGTGTGTGTGATTCGTCATACAGGTTATCCAGTCCTCTGAAGCTCTTCCAAAGTGTTTTTATCTTCATGTCCATTTTTTATCCTTTTTTGGGGATTGACATTGATACTATTGGCATTTTTAGGCCTGAAAGAAAGCAAATGCAACATAACATAGCATAAGTGCAGTTAAATATAAACGTTTACTGTGGTGTAAATAAATAAGTTTGAATGTATTTAAAAGTAAAATTCGGCTACTTTTTTAGTTTTAAATCAGTTGATCACATACATATTTGGCTAGTTTGAAGTACAGAATAGATATGATGACTCAACATTATTTGTACTAATTTAGTTACGAAGCCTTAGTCGTTGTTTTATTATTTAATGAAGGTGTTAGATGTCTCGAAAGAAAAAATACATTGAAAAAAACAATTTATCACTCGAGGAAAAAAATATATAAATATGTTAAGTACTTAACATTTTGTTGGTATATTTTAGTGCAAAGCCACATAGTAAGATATGTGCGTTGTGTCTGTCACAGGGTTCGAATATCAGTTTTAGTACTATAATCTCTGACGCTTATCGTTAAACCACCGGATACTATTTAATATTAACAATGTTATTTGAGTTTATGGTCTGCTCTGTTTGTGAATATAGAGTGTACATCTAAGTGATATTTATAGAAATATTTCGTAAAGGAAATTGCATGCATTCTGGCTACAAGCCAGGTTTGAGAAAATTATGAAACTTACTTTCTAATAAAATATTAAATTCATGACGTGCCAAAAAAAAGGAAAAAAATAACAAAAGTTTTAGGACGTTTATGTACTCAAATAATAATGTATTTATTTACATTAACTTTGTCTATCTATTTTATGGTGTATTAAACGATATAGAAATATTATTTTCAGGCTTATCTATTGGAAAACAAGTCACTCTCGGAATGATGAGTACCTGGAGCTTAATGGTAGGCTTGAGAGCTCACATTGCTAAAACTCGTGGTTCGATTCTTGCGGTGGGCACAATTCAGACAGCCCATTGTGGATTTTTACGCTTAACAACATAATGGGCGGGGGGAATGTTGTATTCACCCTATGTAAGACCCGAAACACACTTACAGTCTTATATTTTCAGTTGTTCTATAGGAACAGCAGAGAAAGGAAGTTTCGGTATTATTCCTTCACGATGGAGAGACCTTTCACTCCAATAACGTTACGCTGTTTACGTCGTTTAGTTAGTTACCTGAGCAGGAAATCTGTTGATAATGGGATCCCCTTATTCATTAAGTGCCATCGTTTCAATCATCTTGATAGTTGTGGATAAAGAAAAAAATATCCCTCCTCCATCCTCAACTGATGCCAAGAAAATACATACTGGCAAAACTACATATCTGAAAGAAAAGTCGTTCTCAGTTAAATTAACACCTGAAATAAAATCGTATTACCCACTCTTTTGTATCAGAAAAACACAATTATATATTGAGTTTTGCACACACCCCAGTGGTTCAGCGGTAAGTCTGAGGGCTTATAACGCTGAAAAGCGGGTTTCGATACCCGTGGTGGGCACAGCACAGATAGCCCAATGTGTAGTTTTATGCTTCATAACAAACAACCATAATATATTGATTTGAATTTCATAATTCACTGCGAATCAAAACATTTTCATTTGGGGAAAACTAAAACGACGGTTTTATAAATAACCTGGTTATATATTACTTTAATTTTTTTTAGTTTCGATATATTTTACAATCATTCAGAAATTTAATAAAATATATATCCTTTAGAGTATCTAAAGCACTTCAGTGAACGTTGAAAAAATCGCTAAAACTTTATAGAAACAAACAGACAGTCAGTCTTGTGTTTTAAGGTGCTTTTTATCTATAAGTTCATATTAGGTGGCAGTGGAAACAAACAAAAAATACAAAATACAAACATTCTGTTTGATACGAATTATACAGTGATACTATCTCCACATTTAATATAATAAATTGCATTCACAGGAATGCTAAGATACCATGTTGTGTAAATATCCACAGATGCCAAAATACCATACTGTGTGTGTTCCAAAGTACCACAATAAAATACCATGTTGTGTACGTATCAAAGGGCTCTAAAATATCATGTTGTGTAAGTATCCAGAGACGCTAAATACCATACCGTGTAGGTATCAAGAGACGCTAAAATACCATATTATGTAAATGTTCAAAAATACGATACTAAAATACCATGTTGGGTAGATATCAAGAGACACTAAAATACCATATTATGTAGGTATCTAGGGACACTAAAATACTATATTGTGTAGGTATCAAGAGACGCTAAAATACCATATTATGTAGGTATCCAGGGACACTAAAATACTATATTGTGTAGATATCTAGAGACGCTAAAATACCATATTGTGTAAGTGTTCAAAATTATAATTCTAAAACACCATGTTTTGTAGGTATCCAGAGACTCTAAAATACCACGTTAAGTATCCAAAGACGCTAAAATGCCATACCGTATAATTATCCAGATACACTAAAATATCAGGTTGGGTAAATGATAATAAAAAAAATAATCGCTACCTTAACTTTATTATCCGAATGCTATTTATTGTAAAGTATCCAAAAAACTGTTAAATATCACAAATCTTCTTAGACTTGTTTTCTATTTAATTTCTAATATATATTATTGATCAAAACGAGAATTTCAGTGCGCAAAAGTATTATAGTTTAGGGGTAAGTAACGGACTATAGATCGAAACCAAAACGTATTTTTGTCGGATCACAAACCTAGTTTAAATAGAAATAGAATATTTTACTCACAGTTCAATATTTGGATTTTATGATATCTTATACCATTGGACAGATATATTAGTTAAGAAACGTGTGCACCATTAATGCTGAAGGACAAAATATCATTTAAAGCACCTATAATTGAATTCACACTCACCGTTTTTTACAGGTGTTTTTCTTTTTTTGTTAGTAGCTCACTTTTTAAATGTTGTCAAGGTTGTGAGGTAAAGAAGATCAACCAATACAAAGCATTTAGAGCTTAAGTCACAGACGTATATTCCCGTTGCACTTTTCTTTCAAGCTATCGTAAACCCAACTGCACGAGTTCAATCAAAACACTTAAACCTGTTGAGTTATTGTTAATTTATTCGTGTCATTTGGTGACTTCTGATGCGATAGAATCGTTATTCAAACTCATTTTTATATTAATTTTACATCATGAATTTTACGATTCCAGGTATAGACGTGATTGATGCAGCGACGTCGAAATATCGTCTAGGACAAAACCGAGTAAAAGAGACGTTGTGCTGAAACCAGCGTTAAATCACACTCACCCTATGCGGGTACCACGACACCTGACTTTCAATCTCCGTTTACCGAAACCTGAAGCACATTCGTTAGCACAACGTCTCGCGCGCCTCCCTGATGGCGCCTCATTCAGCGGCGTATATAAGAACAGGTAACTTGCTTATGCGCAGATGTTAAGAAAGTCTTTGTTAGCACTATTGCGCGCGAGCTGTCAGCTAGCAACGAGCGCCTCTCAGGCATGGGCTAATTCTACCACTTGACAAGATTTCTCAAAACGCACGTGCACGGCAAACTTCTATAGTGCCCAGTCAGCACTACAGAGAAGTTGACTCACGTACTTGACAGTGTTTAAAGACCATGAAAGTTTAAAGTCGACATGGACTTTTTTTCCCTCTGGTATCCGTATTTATGCAACTCCTTGAATGGATTATATAGAATATTTTTACGGTTGATTAAGACACTTCCGCTTAATCCACGGCTCTCAGAGCAGTAATCCATTTATGAACAGCATGCACTATTTCTTTTAGTATCTTGGACCCAAATCCACATATTAAATTAATGCTTTATCAACATCCGATATTAACTACATTTAATTGAAAATCAGCTGTGGTTGTAGATGGCGGGGTCGTCTGTCATAAACTGATCTCCTAAGACGTAATTAAGACATCTAACTCATCTGTTTGAAAATTAGCAGTTACAAAGGTTTGGAAGTAGGATGTTCAGTAGGCTTAACAGCCAAACGTTTTCCTTGTTAGCTAAGCCTAACAAAGGACGTACACACAAATGCTCGTCAGTTAATTCTAAACGGTACATATCACAATACATTTTGAAAGATAATTGTTGTTGTATTTTTCAATATATTACACAACAACAATACTTTAAATCTTTTTTCTGACATAACAATGATATTTTTACGTTGTATAGAGCCTTCATTTAAATACTATTAGTACACTTCAAGTCAATTGTTATAACAGTAAGTTTTTATTGTATAACAGCATAAAATACACATGCTCTGCTGCGGGATTCTAAGGCCACCTCGTGATTCACAGAGGCTTCAATGTACCAGTCAAGCGTCTTCATTATCTTAATTACTATTAGAGCAACCGCAATACGCCAAATCTTTAACTGATTTGTCTGTTGCTATTCCCCGAACTTAATTCAATTCAACCCTTTTTAAAAGCAAATAGTTTTAATTTAATTTCTCAGATTCGTTTTTCCTTCCTATGTTTTTATTTAAATTTTTTAATTATCCGAATTCTCCAATATTCTCTGATTCATATTTTTTTCTAGTTGTTTGCTGCCGTTTCCCAAACTTAGTTCAATTAAACATTTTTTTAATTCTCAGATTAGTATTTTTCTTCCCATGTTTGTGTTGAAAACGAGTATTTAGCAGAAAACCTCCACATATTGTTCATTCAGTATATGAGAATTAGAAAAATAATATACTTTTCTATAGACCATAAATTAAATAAACAGAATTGCGGGGCTTAAGGGATATAGGGCAAAACATAATACCCAGATGCACACCCTCAGGATCTCCTTAGCATGCGTGCAAAATTTCAGGTCTCAAGGTTCTCTCCTTTTGCAGCTATGGCGGTCACACGCACAAATACACACACAGACAGGCTCTTTTTATTATAATATAAAAAAATTAAAATATAATACCCAGATGCACACCCTCAGGATCTCCTTAGTATGTAGGCAAAGTTCCAGGTCTCTAGGTTCTTTCCTCTTGGTGATATGGCAGTCACACACACACACACACACACAGCTCTTTTATTCTTATAGATTTCTTTTCTTTTTTCACCAATTAATTTACGTTACTATATGATGAAATAAAACGGACTCAAAACCCTATAGATAGTAATTTTTATTTGTTTGTTAGCTGCAGATAATATATATCTAATTGAATTCCTATATACATGGATACCACTAGAGGCACTATGTCACTTCATGACGCCATGATAACTTTGAGACAACAAAAGAAATTGTAGCACCTCTGCTAATAAAGGTTTAAAATGAAAATTTAAATAATGACAACTGTATTTTTCTTAAAATCTACGTAGTTCACTGTTAATTCGGGAAAATTCAAAGAAGTCTCCTACCTCGACACTGAAAACAATAACTAACCACAATCCTGATGACGTTATACTTCCATTCTTACACTTTTAACTTTCGAGAGAATCTGTGACAGGAAATAAATCAGGAAACTTTGTAAAAGTATGTTGTAGATTAAAAAATACAGTATTACTTAGTGTTACAATATGTACTTTATCTTGTTTACAACATTTGAAAAAAGTTATCCACATGGCCGTCTTTATGCCACAATGATGATTCTATAAATTTATCAGAGAGATGCGTGAATCCTGTGAGATTTTATACCACAGGTGTCAGCATTGATTCGCATGCTGAAGACTACTGAGGATTATACATCAGTATGGTACACAATGTTTTCAAGCAATGCCTAATCTATTATACATCCCTGTAGTCCCTGAAAAGCTATTACATCATAATTCATTATTTTTGTCAGTTATACTCCAAACTTTATGTGCATGCTTTCTTCAAATAAAGTTACCCCTCGGTGGTTCAGCAGTATGTTTGAGGACTTATAACGTTAAAATTCAGGGTTCTATCCTTGTGGTAGGCAAGCCCAGATAACCCACTTTCAAAATCGTACATCCTAGATTTGTAAACGTGTATTTGAAAATAATTTGCTCTTTGTTCAGGGCTTTGGTGGTCTTTAAAATTACTTGTTATTTAGCTCTATATGCCTAATGAACAACACGAGTTTAATTACGTTCGTGAAGACGTAGTTTGCCAAGTAAAAACTTTTATCTTGTACGAAAATCATCCTGCAGAAAATCTGGTTTCGTAACATCACTTGAAACACATCATATCACTAGGGAGCCTGTGTTCTGTTTCTTAGATCAAATAAAGCATGTAGCACCTTTTTTATTGTATCTCTTACACAACATCGTCATGTTACTCACCTTTAGCATTTTATTATAGAGGTTTTTCTAAAATTGGTGCTAGAAACCAGAATTATAGCTGCCTGAAATTCAAGACAAGATGTTTATTGTTCAACAGAAAAAGTTATATGGAAATAAAGGTGTAAATAGGCTAATTTATTACGAGCATTTCGGCTTGTGATTGTATTTTTATTTATATTTGCAGCTTAGGAGACGGATTGATTCAGGATTAATACCTAGAAAACTCACTGAATGAAAAATATATAAATCACAAAACTAGAATCGCGGGAAATTGAGCGCTTTCAGAAATTCGAACTTTTTTTTCGCCTTTAAGAATAAAGGTCTACCTCCTAAAGCCGCTTGGTGGCGTTTACCTGGTTTCTTATTTTTTAATAATACAGTTAGTAAGAACTCATTATCAACTATTTTTTAAATCCATTTTTTATTATAATTTTTCTAGGACAAATCAAATAAGACATTTTTTTTATTATTATTAATATTGCTCATTTAACTGTTTCTGTTTTTTTGTTTTTTGCATTTTTACAATGGAAAGACTCAATTTGTTGTCCTAGTAACAAACCGTTAACAAACATTAATTAACCTCGTTCAAAGTTTTCCTCGTCAACTCCACGGGTAGTATTGTTATGCAGCATCAACAACCTAATTCTGTCTCTCTAATGACTAGCGATAACAAGTGTAATGACATAAAGTAACCATGCTCGTTGCCACTGGTAACAGCCCTGTTAGTTGTTTAAGATCCATCTTCATTATTTAGATGGTCTCCTATTGATTATTGACAGATGGCATTTTGATACACATACATATTTAAGTATGGGAAAAAATATAATTGACCGAGATCAAAATTTAAAATGCTCTATTACATAATTAGACGGCTACGTTATGTTTAAAACCCTTTTTCACCTAGATCAAAATCTAAAATGCTCTATTACATAATTAGACAAGTATGTTATGTTTAGTCTAACTGTAATGATTTTATTTCGACTTCAGACATAACTTTCTTGCACTGCTGTAGTGATCTATGAGTTACAATACATTATATCACACACTAACAAAATGGTAATAACATTTACACACACAGTACACAGTCAAGGCATTAAATGGCAATAATAAAAAAATGTTTTTAACAACGGGGCCGAACCATAAAAGTTTCTTGTTCCTGTTAGCCGTGTGTTTGAACAAACAATTACTATGTTTAAATATACATTTTACCATAAAAACATTGTTAGGTAAATTCGATGACGAGGAACCCAC